TTGGGGTGAACAGCACCACATTTTATCCATATAATAATTAAGAAAAGCCTTGCCTGTATCTTTAGAGTTTTAAACATAGTTCTACGAACTTTTGGTCAACCCTTAGTACTTTGAATCAAATATGATCGAATAAATAGAAGACGTAAACGTTTTATTTCTCTTGTCATGTATAGCATATCGAAATAAAACTCTTTTGTCTTACCTATATTTGATCATACATCTAATTCAAAGTATGGCTGAATAGTGGTATGTAGAGGGAAAGACTTATCCGAGAATATAAATCACAGTCGATAAGAAGATTAAATATTTTTCCATGAAAGTCATTTAAATTAGTTGGTTAGATTGAAAACTGACTCACAAAAATAACATTGCTTCGCAATGAAATACATGATCAGTATAGTTATTAGTGCCTAAAGCTAATTGAAATGAATACGGTGGTATACATAGAAATAATATACAGAAAAGAAGCCATTACATACACCTTGAAAGTCGCTTAACAATCTTCTATGTCTGTTTCGACAAGCACTCTGACAGCTTTATGTGAAATGAAATACGTCCTCAGATATAGCACGCATATTTCATAAACATGCCTCGTTGCATGTTCTCAGAAATACATTTTTCCAGTTTTTAATGAGATCTTCCTTGATACTTAAGTAAGAATGTACGAAGGCTCCCAGAAGAAAGTGTACAGATGAAGCAAGCTGTTATGTAACGGACACAATGTTTTCATGGAAGATGCTGTTATTTCAAAAAGATTTTTTCATGTACAATAATTTCGAATGCGTAGCCCGTTGATTGCACCCTATGACTGTTGTAACAAATGTTTTCAGGGGAGAAAATCAAACAGGTTCTTTCGTAACATGCTGTAAATGACTATTAAAGTGACATAAAGACACGATTTATGGTACAAAAAAAATTTCTAAGTATTAACTATCCTTTCCTATGAGCTTTCCTCATAGCTTGTCCAACTCAGAGCTGAGATGCTGCTAAGATGACAGAATGAGATTATTGTCTATAATAAAAAGGCATAGATGTTAACATTGGGATATGTGCTACAAAATCAATTTGGAGAGGGAGTCTTCAAATGTGTTGAGGACTTTTCTCTCTTTTGATGGAAGCATATAATCAATAACAAAATTTACATAAGAGTGCCTTACGTGTCATTCCCAGAAGGGAAATGTGAAAAACAACAGCAAGGTACAAAAGAAACGGCGTGTATAGCTCAATACCTTTAGAGACGTTCTTGGTCAGTATTTGCCGTGCTGTATTGAGAGTGAGATATTTTATCTCTTTTTCATGAGCACTCATGCTCTGAATATAGAGCCGTTGAAGACACGGCTTTTATACGTGTCTAACTAAATATCTTCTTTGCTCTCTCTCTCATCAGCAAATATGTTTTAGTTTCCGCGAAAGCTCACAGAGAAGATCATACGCCAAATCAGACCAACATAACTTAGCCTTGCGCTTCACTCGATTAAAAATCCGAAAAAACTTCCGATTCTATTTCTTACTTTTCTAAGATTTTAGAAGATGTGTCCTCACTTATTTTCGAACTGTCACGAGACAATAGATTTTCATGTATATTTGAGGTTCAAGATTGCAAATCATACATTTCTCAATGAAGTTTTATCACACAAATGATTGATTATTATAATGTAGGACAAAACAATAGTAGCTATCACGACTGTAAACTAAAACTAGATGAAAAATCCTGATTAGAGATAAGAGCACTTGCCGCTAGAATTAGGAAAAAAAAGTGGCTAAGCCGTCAGAATTAGGGACAAAAAATAGCTGGTCGACAAAATTAGGGACAACTTTTTTTTCATGATCTGTGGATGTCTTCATTTCAAGACCCATATCTCCATACATGAAAATACAATTGTCGTGAACCTTTAGACTATGAGAGAGCCTGATCCGCTCTACAAAAATGTCTCAGGCACCTCCTCTCCATTTCTTATCAAAACTATCAAAAAACGTTTCTTTTCCAAAAATTGTATTTTTCCATTGAATTTCTTAGAAGCGTCATAATTAGGAAAACTTTTTTGCTGAACATCAGAATTAGGGAACTACCTTCCAATTCTGTCGGATGGAAGTAATTTTCGTAGACCGGTAATTTCTCTATGAAAACCTGAAAGTTGAAACGCGAACAATATATCATTGGAGAGAGGAGAATCCAGAGATTAACTATATATAAAAATATTTCTGATTGGATGTAAGACAGCCCCACACGAGTTGAAACAAACAACGCCAACATTTTTCCAACAGAATTAGGGAAATGGACTGTACTAGCGATAATTAGCGATTATGTCAGTGATCCTATCGTTCATCGAATCAGGCCGATATGATGTACAACTTATAGCACTTGTTGAGTTGTGTCTAGGTGTGCATTTGGTTTTATAAGAATCGGCATCAGTGCAAATTCTCTCAGCTTTTTCTAAGAATTTCGAAAAATGGCAGTAATTTTTAGCAATTCTTAGCAGTATTTGGCAGTTTTCTCAGGTTCGGAGATGTTTTTCTAGGACAAAATTAGTGAATTCGGTGAAGCTCTTCAAGATCTACTTGGAATCACCAATGACGCAAATACTGTCAATATTGCTCGAATCTGGAGCTAAAATATCCTACGCACTTCCACACTGACTAACTAGTATTCTTTGCCTTTCTTTAGAGTTACCTAGAGCGTATAGACATAATGGTGATTTATTTTCAATCACTTCTGTTAGGATCACGCATAGGATTTAATTGAAATGTGAAAGAATAATAGCACGCCTATCAAGACTAGAAGGAATCCTTCGGGTAAAGATGGCGAAAAGTCTAGATAAAATGGTGATTCAATGTTGAAAAGAGCTTTTGCTTTCAGCTTCTGTCAGATTCTCTCAATTCAAGACTTCTCAAAGAGCGACATTGAATAAAAAATATGAGGACAAAGAACACAAGATGCTTCTTTCCTTTTTATAGAATTTGTACCGAAAGATTGATTTGTTGAGTTTCCTTTGCAATATCAAGTATGTTGTCTATTGTTTGCAACTAACGAGTGTCTTATGAAAGCAAATCAAAGGTTGGCTCTTACTAGTTTGATTGATTTTATCGTCGGAAGTGACGATACTGATAAGATTGAAATCTTAAAGCGTTTTTGGAATAGAAGAGATTATATAGTATTTTCGTTTAGATCCTTACGAATCTAACAAGTCAACAGTCACTTCTATACCTGTTGTCTCTCAAACTACGAAATCAAGACCAGAATCGGTGACAACTCCTCGACCAATGTCGAAAGAAGGTAACCTGTTCAAAATATTTTTTGAAGTTCTTTATATGATTAATACTGGCCGCATCTCTTATGTTTTTCGACGAGCCTAATGCATTTTCCCGCGAATTCTTCGAAAAATGGCATAATTATTGTAGTCATTGAAGACTCACTTGACTTATGCTAATTAAATCGAGTAGAACATTAAATAAAGACCATCGCTCGATACAATTCTATGATAATTAGTTCCTTGTACGATCGAAGTTTATTGATACTCCTGCAATTAATATGTAAATCTTTTCCTGAGGCAGTTGTGCTGCCTGTTTTAGCAGGAATGCAGGAAAGCCTCTCTATAGTGGACACCTTTAGGACTTTTCTATGATGCACACCATATTGAAGTGTCCACTATGAATAGGTTGAACTTTTTCTCAAAACAAAAAGTTAAAGCAATGGCAGGCATACTGCTAGACGCATAAAATTCAAACGAAGGACAAACAACAAAATTATATTCTTTATTTCTTTTCTATTTCATGTTTTATGTACAAAAAAGTAGAGCAGTTAGCAAGTAGAAAAATAATCTTCTATAGAACTTTGTCTAGATGATTTCAAGTTGAGGTAAAAATCAGGTAATTGAATTTCAAGATCATGTTTAAGATTGTGCAGCTACAGTTTCTGAGTAGATGCAAATAGATGCAGTCTTCTCAAATTTTCCAACACTTTTGTCAAGTTTGGTGCTTTTTCCTACAATGACTTTTCTTTTCTTCTGCTTCACCGTTCACCGTTCCATTCACCGAAGGCAAGCATCGACGACTCAATGTCGACAATTTCGGCAGTTGCTAACTACTGGCCATTAATCCGAATATGAGCTAATAAAAATATCAAGTTGTTGTAGTGGATCATCATTATTGATTAATTGTAGTTCAGGTTCAGTGATAGCATCATTAGTATCCATCGAAGAAGACGTATAAGTAGGTTTTCCGAAGCCAGCAACTCGACAAGTATTCAGAATCGTAAGTTTAGTTAAAAGAATTGTAAGTCTTTCCATACTCTTCTTTTCACCTTTACAATCTTCTTTCGACAATACGAATGAACGATCAGGTATTGCCTGATAAAACAGATCAGTATCATCTGTGTCGAATATATCTCTTGCTTCATAACAACTGAGTATTACTGGAAGTCTACTTGCCCAATCTTGAATGCTAGAATTACCTATAGAAATATTTTTTAGCACAGATTGTTTGAAAAGAATCATGGGACTATCTAATTGTTCAGCAAATTGTCTTCTTTCTCTTGTAGAATAAGTCCGGAAATACGAACTTGCTTGGCACTTTGTACGTAGAGTAAACCATTCGAAGACGAAGTTGATCAATGAGTTGTCCACTTTCTTTGTGTTTATGTTTCATATTTTTGTTGGAATTGAAAGCACAATCGAAAATGACTGCTTCTTGAGGATGGAGGATGTTGGCTACACTACTTTTTGATATACCATATATTTTTAGCCAACTGCCGTATTGATAAGTCAGAATCATTTTGATTATCGGCTAGTAGTTTGTCACAGCTTAAAAATAAGACAAATGCGACGATTCCGTTATCACTTTTTATTCTTCTCTTTCATATATTCCACGAAGCGCACGTGTTCTTTTATCTATCTATGTTAATTGTAATTGAAAAGTCAAGTTAGCAGATTATATTTGATCGTAATTAATATACAGTTAGCTGTGTTACAGAAACAAATGACCACTAGAGAGAGGTGTTTTATGTCGATGAAACTGAAAAAAGTGTCCGCCATAAGGAAAACATCAAGTTCGTCTGAGTACTCCCTTACCTTCAGTATTATACACATAACTTATTAACCTTTGTATTTAACAGTTTCTGAGTTCGCTGAGTCTGACACATACAAACCACTTGATCGACGTCATATTCATCTTATTGATAGTCATTGATTAATACAGTATTTCAAGATTCTTCTTCCTCAAAGTGTATAGTGAATGAATGAGACGATTGTAATGAACGGCCATAAATCTCTTCATTTGACTAGCAGTCGAATAAGATATCAATTGAAATGAGAAGAACAACTATAATGAATCAACTACTAATGGTCGTGACAACAAATCATTGTACATGCCATTCATAAACACTGTGGTTGTCGCTTCAGTTTCATCTATAAAAGGAGTAGTAGATGAACTTCATCATCCTAAGTATTGTCCACCAACCACAAGAACTATAGTGATTTACTTAAGCTTTACAGTTTACGTCTTAGGAAATGAAATTTTCAGATGACACATTTGCGCCAAATGTGGAAAGTGTCGTCGTAATGATTCATCTATCATGTTTTTTTATCAACCAGCGAAATTCTTATGATTCCCATTAATGAGGAAGAAATAACTGATGTTTATCTTGATTCAATTGATTCAAATACGATCTCATGCATATTTGTTGAAAGTTGACTATTGATATTAGTTTAAATTTAATGATATACAGAAATACAACAGTTGGAAGTTTAAGAATCATTCATGTATCATGTCAGAAACCAATGTGGTATGCTAGAGAGATATATAAGCTGTAATGAACATGGTTGGCCAAAGAGAATATAATGGTGATAATAACTATTTATTTTAGTTATAATTCTATGGAGTTCATTTTAGTTGAGGACTCAGTTTCGCTTCAACAAAACAGATGAACAAAATCTTTCCGACACATGGAACGCAGCTGTACATAAGAGAGACAATCTGTCATCATGAGTTCCCTTTATATGGCGTTATTCCTTGGTTTTTGCATTTTTGAAGAAAACTTTTGGATTCTAATAATTCGATGTTTATATAATAAGGGTTAGTATCTATCGTTCGATAATTATGAATCTTTAGAATTACAATAAGTGAGGAGTGCATCAAGAATGAAATAGTTTCAGTTTTATGCCATCAGTATGATATTTCAAGAAGCGCAACTTTATATGCGTCGCGAACGATATCGACGATTATGATTATTGTCACAATCATTATTAATATTCTCTTGCATCATTCTCGCCAAGTGGAGAAGAGCATGAACTTTATTTTCAGATAGATCAGATTAATGAACACGAATATTGGAGACAGGATGATTGGAAAGTATCTATTCATTTGTTATATCATTTCTTCTGAAAAGAAGATTTCTAAGTCACAATTCATACTCTACAAAATATGAGCACTCATTTTGCGTGAATTCTATTCACCAACTCGACGATTATCAGTTGATTCATTGATTTTTAAAGTTAACTATAAGAACGAAAGAGATAAACGAACAATACTCTTGGGAAGTTACATCTCATTCACCACTCAATACATTCTCGTTCCTAAAAGGTGTGAAATTTGATCTCAAATCCTTCAAGCAGCTGAATAAAACACCGATTAAAATTGTTCATGACTTCTGAGATCTTTCGTACATTTATCAATTTAGTTAACTTCTATTCGACAGTGTATTAGAAATTTAACAAGACACTATTCATCACACTTCGTTTGCCTTGGAGTCTGCAATGAATAAAAGTTTTTGTCGGCTACTATTCAAATATGAAGTATATGAGAATAAGCGTGTCATTTATTTTATTCTGTTATCCTGTGGTTTACCATATGAATATCAATATTCATGCTCTGCATGGAAGAGGAGAAATTAGAAGAATACAATCATGGTTCAAATCAGCCAAGGTCTATACGACTTGAAATCAACTAGATTTGACCATCGGTTTTGTCATTATGACGAAACTATTGTTGAATAGGATGATTGGAATGTACGCATTCATTTATGTTATCGTATTTTTTTTAATTGACAACCTCAATAATCATTATCATAGAGATGATTATGACAGAATCTAGCAAGTTTCACTTTAGTTCCTTGTCAATATCACATAAAAACTGATAATTGAAAATCTCTTATTTCATTGTTAGACTGGTCATTGTTGAATTACATAATTTCCAACGTCAACACTTTCCCATTATAATATAACCAGTGATTCGTTTCAGTAAAAACATAAGATCTGATAGAAAGAGACATAAATGAATACATTTATCATAGTTATTCTCTTACTACTTATAACTTAACCAATCAGACGAATTCTAAGTTTTCATTTTCTTGGGTCGAATTATATGAAAATCTAAAAAAGATCATGGATATTCACTTTACATGTTAAAAAATGCTACTAGGAACCATAAAATACTTTAGTATGAGGCGTCAACTTTAAAAACAAATCAATGGTAGAAAAAATTCAGTAACTAGGAGTGCTCGAATTTCAAGACGAGCTCTTTAGTAACTTTTCTTGATATCCAAAGCAATTGGTTACAGGTGTGCTGCCTGTCGTTACTAGATTATTCAATAATGACATTACCAATTTTAAAAAAAGAACAATTGGCATAATACTATTCAATGATTAGGTTAAAAGAGGAAAAAATCGTCTATGATGATTAGTGGGTAACTACGAACAGCGAAAACGATTATTTTTTAGATTGTTTCTTCTAAGCAGAACATTTACCTCTTTTATATAACCGACACAGAAAAATATTCTTCAGAAAAGTAATCATGAACACTACAAATAATAATATGAAGATACATATCTACAACATGTGGCAACAACGAATCAGTTGTGCCTCGCTTGAAAACCAATGGATAAATGAAAAACATATGATAATATTATTTCGACGACATCAGCACAACCAAAAAGGTGATTATAAAAGTTTCGATACAAATGACTATAAAACAGTAAAGGAAAAATCAGTTGCATTGTTAACAGACGAGCTGATAAGATGAATTTTTTTTTGATTATGCGGATATTTATTCATGACATCCATATATATTTTTTTGTGGTTTTTGTATAATTTTTGCGGACGCTTACGAAAAAGATGACATATTGTATTGTTGCCGAGCTCAGAGTAACAAATATTGGTGAAATATCAATACTCAATGAAACTGATGATTCAAATAATACACTTATGAGCTCCCTGTTACATGCAGAGTTCCATCGATAACTGAGCTCCTTCCATTTACGGGATAAAAAATCCTTTTAACTAACTACTGCTTAAAGCCCACCAGAAACACACCGTGAAGCTTTGACATCCATTCTAAAGCAGATGAATAAATGTCACAAATTCATAAAAATAAGAACTCAAAGGACACTTTAAACCTATTTTCAACCAACATTTTCCTAAAATGACAACGCGATGCACTCTAAAGATCGGTCTACTACCGAACTTGTACTCAGGATAGAACCATTCGGGCTTCGTACCGATTTGCAGAACCTTAGAAAATTTGGCAGATAAAGGTCCGAGCCATTTTTGGTTGTGTAAATTGATACAAAACCCAAAAGGTTCTTATCCTGGATACAGGTTGCAACGATATTTGAGTAGTACATTGTATGCATATGTTTTATTTTCTCATTACTTTGTATTTATTGTATTTGTCCTTATTATTTTGTCCTTACTTTATTCTTTCTACTTTATATTGCGCATTGCCATGTAATGATAGTATAAAAGCGCGTGTTTTGTATCTAATCGATGCGATTGATGATAGAAAGAATCGAATAAAGCTAAATAACATCATCAAGTTTCTCTCTTCCATCAAAAATCGTCACACAGGTTCGGTAAGAAACCGATTTTTTTAGAGTGTACCCTTATTCAGCAACGAGAAATTTCTTACAAAAAGAAAACAACGATGTCATTATTTCCGTGAAACACAATATAATTACATATGATGAGGCCATAGTCATAACGCGCCGAACCTTTAGTTAGCCACTCAAACCATTCAGTTCTATCGGAGTCAACCAAAGAATCTCTAGACCTGACCAATCCATGCAACAAGAAAAACTGCAGTAGCACAAAAACATTAACGAAACAAAAACTACAACATTGCCGTCACTTCGCTCAACCACGGCAATAAAGCATTCCAAACGATGAACAAATTCAAGAGAGCAATCAACACCACAGTCATCACCTCGCCAAAAAGATACCTTCACTCGAAACCACACAGACGAAAATTGCACAAATGTAATTCAGCCAAAAAAGCATCGGAACTCAAAACCAACTCGTCAATAGATTCATTGACTCTCACCGGTAACTAGTCAATCGTCTATGAAGCTTATTTATTAAAAAAATGCCAAAAGCACTCTAAGTTAAAATGTTTCGCATGTGTCGTGATTTACAACACATTCCACGGCACATTCGAGCACGACACTAGGTGCTCGTTGCGACAAATTTTCTCCAGCCAGTGTACGACACATTTTTCGCGACAGAT